TAGAGTCAACAGCTGCTGGCCCAATCCCCTAAAAGTAGCCAACACACGACTCATCAATAGGTTAATCCTAACGAAGAAATGCCAACCAGATTGCTTACAAAGTCGACATTAAGATTGTCAGTTAGCTCCTCAGGATGAATAGGAAAACAGATGAAATTTGCAGAGCACAAGAAAAAAGTCTTCTCATTGACGCACATGCATTGATAAGAAAATGGCATCAGCAGTAGGCCGGTATGCAATACCGACGCTTCACTGCCGCGCAACCCTTAACATCCGCACGTGAGCTAAGGATATTGCGAGGGTCGCAGGGTTCCTACACAGGTCCGAAACCGCGCCCTCGGATTACAAGGCAGGCGTATGATCTTTAGCACTACGGGCCGGCATGCGTTGTTACAACTGGGAGGTCATCCAAGAAACATGAACGAGCAGAAAAAAGGATACCTACCATTGAAACAGGAGGCTCCTTTAACTTATCACTTGGTACATTCGACCAGGACATTTCCATGGCCCCAGGATCACCGGGTGAACAAGGAGTGAGAAGATCAGACACAACCTGTGACGGATCCAGAGGAGAAACACCGGAGACCTGACGGACAGCGAGAGAAAAGCCGATTACCCCAGTCATCCAAATGAACTATGGGAGAATCATAAAACAGTACAAAGCGAACTACATAGCAGTAGATGCTGTGGTTACAACGACAAGGCAGAATAGTGTATCAGTTAAGGAACTTTCTGATATAGCTAATATGGTGATAATTACTTATGACGATATCGAATAGTGCAGATATGGTGGTGATACATGTTATTCCTTCATGAACGCGAGGATTCGCTACTGCCCTTAAGGAATCATAATGACGACTACCAAGATGTGGAAAACAGCAGTAGTTGTGTACGAATACAATGAATGATCTCCTTAGTAATCGAAACTGATACAAAAACTGAAGATCGGATATCGATTAGGTGGGTTTGAGCATGCAGTAAAAACGTACCAGCTTGAAGTGAGTGGCCGATTGGACCTTTCGCACCGGCATCATGAGGGCTTCACGAACCACAATTCCTATATCAGCTCCCGAATAGCCATCGGTGAGTTCGCCGAGTCTCTTGAAATCCTTTTGAGTTAGCGTATGAGTAGTCTGACTCAAATGAGAACGGAAAATATCGCAACGTTCTGAAGCCTCGGGGAGTGGGATGTAGATACGCTTCTCGAAACGACGACGAATAGCCGAGTCTAACGTCCAAGGAATGTTTGTGGCGGCGAGTACTAAGATGCCAGCGTTATCATTGTTGACACCCTGTTTACACAGAGAATGACGGCAGAGCGATAGAGTTAAGAGGCGACGCATCAATACTATCATCGACAGCAGTACATCAGCAATTTGAATTTATATTTAGTTGTCACGTAACCACGATGGTCTTCGGAATAGTAACAGGTGAATGATGACAGGGCAGAGATTCCACAAATGGGAGGACTGCCTTTAGCCACTATGCAGAACCATAAACATACACGGTCAATTGAATTAAAGGTGGCCCTCAGTTAAGGGAAGTAACTAGCGGTAAACCGTCCATGTGTACGCGGGAGTGACGCTGTTTATGAATCTGACAAAATAAAAGCATAAGGCCGGTGTATTCTCAATCGGCACGACTTTCAGTGGTGCGACTAGCAAGGATCAATAAGGCACTAAACTGTGAAGCGGAAAAGAAGTTCGTAAAGAGGCTGATGTCACTACGATTGTCACAAAAAGCTCAGTGGCGATCTTCAACGACCGGAGCGGTCGTTTTGACCGCTCAGCGTTGTTAAATGTGCATAGTTGCTTCATTTGCAAACATTTATCAAACATATTTTTTGACCTCTAATATTTTTGACGTCCTTCGTAACTGTGAAGTTTCACCTTCATATCAGTTATGGTTCCCGAGAAAAGTAGTTGTGTTCGTACTACCGAGAAATCTCGTTAGCGGTCAAAGTGATAACTTTCCTCTAATCCGATTTCTTTTTCATTTTCGGCCGCCACTATTATTTCTGACAAGATTACATGCAATATCAGTCAAAAGAAGAGTGAAAACTAGACGATTCAGGGTTTCCCAATGATATTGTGCGTTCGGTCTGATAAATTCCAGTACCACTGATACACAATGGCTCGTAGGAGGAAAACAGCTCCTGAGGTTTTAAGAGAACGTACAGATATGGATTACAACGAGTCTGGAGGTGAGAATATGATGTTGATGAAGACTTCATTTTCCAAAAGTCAGAAGAAGATCAAAACATTCCTGATAGGTAAAGTTCCGTCAGTGACACTCCTCATGAAGACAGTAATGAGAATGTATCAGCCGATTCGGCATCTTTCAGTGAAGTTCACGGATCGAACTATGGTACATCGTGGACCGCAATGGAGTTCCAGACGACCAATGTTGGTAGAATGCCATCAAAGAATGTTTGCAAGGCTAGAACAGGACCAACTGTCTCCGCTAAGAAATGTGTGGAATATGGTGAGCGCTTTTGACATCATAATCAAGTCCCAGATGCCATAACAGATGTACTGAAGCTGAGGCCAAGAGTTTTAAGTATCATTTATCAGTGGAACATAAGTATTCCTGGGCTGCGTGCATTTATTGGGCTACTTTACATCAGATGCTTGGTGGGCTTGAAGGACATGTCATTGAATATGCTGTGGTGCGATAAATACGAATTACCTATTTGCAGGGAGACAATTGGCAAAAACAGATTCAAGGAAATAATGAAGTTCGTTCGTTCTGATATGCGAACCACCAGAGGTGAAAGACTAGACTGAAAAGTTTGCTTTGATATCTGAATTCTGGAATGCAGTTATTCGCAACTCTAAACAGTGCTATGTGCCTGCGCAGAACCTCACCGTCGACGAGCAATTGTTTCCTACCAAAACCCGCTGTCGTTTTCTTCAATACATGACCAACAAACCTGATAAGTTCGGCATCAAGTTTTGGATTTTGGCAGAAATGGACAGCAAATATCTCGTGAACGGATCGTCATATCTCTGGAAAGACGAATCTTGGCCACGAGGAGAAAGTGGTCCAAAGAGCCTGGTATTGAACCTTATGTCACCCTTATGTGGAAAGGGTTACAATATCACTTGACAACTTCTTCACATCTGCAGCATTGGGAGAAACACTCTCCATGAAAAATACAAGTATGATGGGAACTATTAGAACGAATAGAAAGGAAGTATCGACGACTTTGAAGCAGAGTAGTAAAGAGGTGTTCAGTTCATTCGTCATGAAGGATAAAAATAAGCACATGTTGACATGCTAAAACGATGAGAAAATAATAAAATGTTTTTGTGCTCAGTTTCTTGCGCAGTAACTCTATCATACAAGACTGTGGAAAGAAGCCCGAGACTGTATTGTTTTACAACTCCACGAAGTATGGGGTAGATGTACTCGACCAAATGGCAAGAGCCCTCACTGTTAAGTCAAGAGCTCGACGGTGACCAGTCCAAGCAATCTTCAACGTGCTGGATGTGGCTGGCATAAATTATAATACTGTCTCCGGCAATAACTTATCCCGCTGATCGTATCTGATGGGTCTTGCGTAAGAACTGTGTGGATCCATACAACACACTAGGTACGTGACAACTAGACTTACGTCGAACAACAGCTCAGTTGTAAAGTAGTAAGACAGGTAAACGTCGGCAGCATCATATTGGTTACTGTACAGTCCACACGTGGAAGAGCAAGTGCTCTGTATTTGAAAAAATAGTTTGTGGTGCAATTGGACAGATGGAGAGAGTTATCACCTGTTTTAAATGTATATCTGAACAGGCAAGTACAAGTACTACAAGTTTTGAAAAAATAAAGTTAAACACAGTTATTTTGAAGTTACAGATATGTCCTACACTAGATTTTCAATATGTATATTGAAAGAAAATTATAAATAAAATTTAGGATAAAGAAGTACAATAATGTGGTCATTTTGACCGGTTCTGGGAGTTCGAAGTATAACGATGGAGCGGTCATCCTAGTGTTATAGATGAGGAGGCAGGACACAAAAATGTGTCAAAAAAGCAAGATGGTTAGCAGGAAAAAGAGAAACAGTGAGGAAAACGGTGGTGTTCCAAGGATGAACTGCGATGAAAGAACACGTAGTGCATGAATCACGAGGGCCGCCATGCAAAGCGCAGAGCTAGAAGAACACAAAGAGTGAACATGGTGGTGCATGCGCAACAGGCTATGGTGCTGCGTCCCGTGACTGGACTATTTTAGGCGAAGGAAACATAGGCGGCATAAGTGCATAAAAAGATCCAGTAAGCAAGGATGCTAGTTTGAGAAACAGCAGAATGTTGACGAACCTGCATTTGCACCAAGAATTCTGTCTTAATTCGTCGAGCAGACTCGGATTCATTGTCATTTCGCGAACTGCAAATTGAGTCAATTTCGTCAATAAAAACGATGCTTGGTTTCTTCTCGCGAGCCATGCTGAACAGCGTTTTGACTAATTTTTCCGACTCCCCTAACCATTTGCTCACCAAATCGGAGCTGGAAACGGAAAGGAATGTGGAGTTGTTCGCCTCCGTGGCTACGGCCTGAGCCAAAAAAGACTTTCCGGTCCCTGGGGGCTGAGGTGAATAAATAAAATAATGAATCTGATGTAGTGCACAAAAGCAAACGAACAGCGAATGTAATGACAAAGAAGCAACAGTTCAAAGCATAACAAGTAACTGATAAGAACCGAAGTGATACGGATGTCTGAGAGTCAGTGCTTTTGAGACTGGAAGCCGGTCGATGGCGTATCGAAATACCAACCACGTCTGAGGTGCAGTGAAATAGTAGCCGTGGTAAAATAAGGACTAAGATTACATTTCGCGCTTCACTAATCGAAAACTCGATGGGAAGAGACCATTTCATACGATAACAAACATTGGGCGACCGACTGTAATGTCTACCACAAGAATCATCACATCATCCACACACGTTGGCCGAGGGTGAGAAACACACCTCAGCTAATGCGTCGCAATAGAACAGATAAAAATTATGCAATACAGAATAAAAAAACTAAAGAAGTAACAATGATAAATATCGCATTTGAGATCGTCGTTGGAGTTGAAAGTCAAAAGAGAGGGGAGGGACAAAGAGGCCTACAACAAAACCCCATTGAGTTCGACTCTTCGCCATGTCCGCGAGTGTGTCCAACCAAACGTGTTCGACGTCCTTCGGTCCCCAGCCCGGCAGTCAGGAAACACCAACGGACGCCAACTTCGAAGTGAGGGTTTTCATTCCTCTTGATCCAGTCATCACTTGGCATCCCCTCTTTTTCTCCATCCACACCCAGGCGCGCAAACAGCGCACGATGCGGGAGTTGGTGGGCTGGCATGCGCAACACACGGCCAAGGCATCGGAGCCAAATGCGTGATATGAGGGCGATGAGCGGTTCATTTGCTCTTCCTGCACCAAATACAAGGCGCCGAACACGCCCATTTCTCACGCGGTGTTCCCACCGGATATGAGCAGAGCTGCAAACGGCAGCGATGATCGAACGTAACTAGCCTCATTATGTCTGTCCAATTGATGGGTCAGATTTTACAACCGTACACTAGGACTGAACGGACGACTGCATTGTAAACTCTGCCGTTCATAGCGACAGTAATGTCAGACCGGCGCCACAAATGGCGGAGATTAGCAAGAGCGCCTCAGGCTTTTGCTATACGGTTCGTGATATCGTCTTCGATCCCAAGGGCGCTAATATAGCTGCCCAGACAGTTGAATTTCTGGATGACTTCTAGCTAAACACCGCCAAGGGTCAGCTAAGGGGTGAATCAATGCCAATCCTGGAGGAGTTTACATTTCGGAGCAAAGCATAGCCCAAAACAAGTGACAGTCAGTGCTAATTTGTCCAGTGTTTCTTGACACGTTTGAGCGCTGTAAAATATGAGGGCAATGTAGTCAGCATACTCCAAGTCAAGAAGTCGCTCCCCTGGAAGCAGCTCCACACCTAAGTCGTGTCCAGTGAACGCTGTTTCCATGACTTCGTCAATAGCGAAGTTGAAGAGGAAAGGTGAAAGCGGGCAACCTTGTCTTACATCGCTGGAGATATTGAATGGCGGTGAGATTTTGCCATAAACTATCATTCTACCCGAACTATGCGCACACAGCACTTTGATAATGTTTACGTTTTTTCGGACACACCTTGCTGAGCAAAGTCCCAAAGGGCACATCGATCAACCGAATCGAAGGCAGCTTTGATGCCGAGAAACACGACTACGGTGGGTCGTCAATAAACACGGCGGTGCTCCGACTGTCGTAATGTGAAGATGTGGTCAATACAGGCTCGACTTCGACGAAACCCGAAGATAAATATCAAATAACTGGGAATTGATTGGGCATGGAAGAAACGCTAGGAGCCTGCTAAACTAACAAATACAGACAGGACGAGAGAGTCGATTAGGGTGGTCGCCAACAGAAAGACAGTGCATACTCGGGAGAGAGTAAAAGTCAACATCAAGATGACAAAACAGGGAGAGAAGCCCAAAACTAATGTAAGAGAGCATCGAACTCTGTCTGCTCTCTTAAAAATATGACACCTTGACATTAGTGTGTAAGCGTTTGTTCAGTGTCACAGTGGAGTTTCACAAGCAGCATGAAGATGATTTGAATCACCCCGTTCTTTAATAACAGAGGAAAAGGATAAATGAAAAGTAACACTAGGACCGTAAACTCCCAGGCTTGGAGGGGATTCATGACATAAGGTTTCGTATGCAAACCGATAACGATATAAAAACAAAAACGTCGTTTGTGCTCCAAGGCACGGCAACAGCAGTTTGCCATATAAACAAAAAGAGCCCAGTGATGGAAAACAGAGGAATGTCCTTAGGAGAGGGAAAAATATGAAATGTGATATGCATGTATACAAAACATGGCTAACAATCATTCGGCCTGCGGTCGAATGGTTTGGGCGTTGTAATCCACAGGTCTCCGGTTCGAGCGACCAACGCGACTGCTCGTTGCTGCGTGGCATCAAAGCGTTGAAAAGATGTACCGATGTAGCGTTGATGATTTTCCCGGAATTGAACAGACACTATCTGGTTCAGTAGAACTGTACGCTACTGGGCACGTCCAAGTGTTGGTGATCGGGAAATGTCTTGATTGTGGAGGTAACCATGAATAACTTTCATCTGTTCGCAGGCAAGATGAACAAGCGGTCGCAGACAACCTGCGGTGGCCTTTTAGAGCGCCGAGATAGTGGGATGGTTATTCAGTTCCCCAACATATACCATAAGAGCCCTAAGGCGCTGTATGGAAGCCAATGTGACGGACAATACGGCTAATGATCACATATATGTAACCAAGAGGGCAGAAGAACAACATCGAAGGACAGCGAATTATTTGTAGGACGAACACAATTAAGTCCTATGAGTCGTCTAGCCGTCGACGTTTTTCGTAGCTAACGGCGACTTTGCCGGTTCAGGAAACACTTCCTGGCCTCCAGTGTATCATACTGCACTCTTTTGGACAACCTGTAATTGGTGTCTACACGAAAATCATGTTATCCACACTTTGGTAGCCGGTTCCCCACGGTTCGTGATACACATTAATCTTCACGCTTTTCCCTCAGTTACCGCTGGTGAAGATGCATGAAGGACTGCAAATCAAGCTGGAGTAACCACCCCACACAGGATCACGCCCTGTATATGCCAAAGTCCACGCTACCCTCGAGAGACTTGGATCACGGGAGCAATCCAGGCTGATTAGAGCCTAACGGATATCGTGCTCGTCCTCAAAAAAGGTACGCGAACAGACTGCGGTAAGCGATTAGCCTCATCTGTGTTGCATCTCAAGTGTACGCCGCCCTGTTTCTAAGAAGGCTTAGTTGGGTACATGAGGAGTAAGCTGGGTTCCAGTTAGGTCGAAGTTGAATGAGCACATATTTATGATCCACCGAGTCGTTAAACGTTAGGCCGGCCAAAGATCGTTGACCTCCTAGCTATACAATCCGCTTTTAACTCAAATAACCGAGCTGATTTCTAGAGTTGCCTGTTGAAGAGCGAATTGGCCGAAAAGTAAGTTAACACACTTCTAGCCAAGAATTTGCAAACCTTACAGCGCCGGTGTACCTAGCCCCCTAACTCTCTCAAATTATTAGCGGCGTGAGACAAGGTTGCCCAGAAACACTTACTGTTCACCGCCACGGATGATATTCTGGAGCCGTTCCTATCCTCACGTTTTCGGGTTATCCTTTAGAATTGGTAAACTAGTTTGTTGACTTCAGAAGCTGTCTCAACATTAACGGTTTAAAAGCGAAAGGACCCTTGCGCGTCTCTAAAGCTCGGGCTGATTTTACTAATCTTGGTTACCACTGGCGCCGACGCAACCTCAGCCTTTCTCAAAAGGATCGGTTTTACAATGCTATAATGAGAACGGTTATGACACTTACACCACTCGTGCACAAGATGTTTAGATGTGGGTTTTTGAGAACCGCTGCTTTCGGGTCATTGCCGATCTACGATAGCAACAGTATATAAGTAACGGGGTACGTCGACGGACTTCCAAATTAGGCACCGTTAACCGCTGAGCTGACCAGTTTCACAGCACAGGATTCGGTGGCTTAGGCAAGAGGTACGCGTGTCACTCTAGCATTTACTTTTTACGCACTTTCTGCAAGCGCAGAATGCGGCTGAAATCAGAAACCAGGCGATGAACGAGTGTGAAGACGAAACCTTCAAAGCATGAGGTGCTCGGGACGTCCTGGGCAAACAAGGAGCAGAAAAAGTCTGGTTGGAGACCGATTGCCAATTATACTGCTATATATATAGCAGTATACCAGGCAATGCTACAACTTATTAGGAGAAAAAATATGGTAATCTTAAGAAGATAATGATGTCTCACAGCATATATATATATATATATATATATATATATATATATATATGGCGGGAGAGCCTATGGTGCGATGAGGCTGGTGGTGGCTAGATCCTGACAGATCCTGACCCACTGCTGCTACTGTTGTGCCATTTGCTCATGTCCTGGGCGCCTCCTCGTGGCGACCGCTGGGTGGGATTTGGGTTTCGCCCTTCTCCCTGCTTATATCCAGGACACCAATCCGCACGAGTCAGTGAACTGGCCATATGCTAGACCCGCTGCCTTTCGTGTGTTCATTTAATCGAAGGCTTTAGCTAAGGACCCGAGTCGTTCTCCTGTTAGAAGTGGGCGCCCTGGCAGTATCCTAGTCCATCCTCTTCGGATGTTAGGAAGTGGTCGATGGCCCACTTCCCGTAAAACCTAGCCATGGGAGACAACAGGTCTATGGGTTATAAGCTCACAGCTCGATTGGCATAGAGCAAGAGCGCCAAGCATTGTCTCTGACGGTGAGAGGACACCTCCGGGTGTTCAATGGTTTGCTACTGCCCGCCTCAAGCCAGGTAGTCCATGGTCAAATTGGTGCAAACCCACCTGCGTCTGGCCGTGGTCCCAGGTGCGTATCATACTACGGTCGCAAAACATATATAAATCGTTCCGGTACCTCAGAGGATGTGTGTGACGGCCGTCAAGCAGATCCCTATCTGTCTCTGCAATCACATTCCCGAGCTGGATCTGCTCCCCACTGCCTTGTGGGTCAGGTTATTGAGCCAAAGGCTCCGGGCGGAGTCCTTCAAGCAAAACTCCAAACCACCCACTGCCTTGTGGGTCAGGCTATTGAGCCAAAGGCTCCGGGCGGAGTCCCTCAAGCAAACCTCCAAACCACCCACTGCCATGTGGGTCAGGCTATTGAGCCAAAGGCTCCGGGTGGAGTCCCTCAAGCAAACCTCCGAAGCACAACGACCACCTCGCGTGCGATTTCCCACCAATGCAATCGTATGTCTGCGCGCAAAGCACTCAGCATCGGGTGCTGGAACGTGCGTACACTACTGGACCGGAATTCCAGCGAGCGCCCGAAGCGACGCACTGCACTGGTCGCGATGGAGCTGGCGCGCTACAACATCGACATTGCAGCGCTCAGTGAAACTCGGCTCGCTGAGCAAGGTAAGTTGCATGAAGCAGGTGCTGGTTACACATTCTACTGGGTGGGCAACGCCACCTCAGTGTCACGTGAACATGGGGTCGGATTTGCAATATCCGATCGCCTCCATGGCCAGCTGGTGGGTGAACCAACGGGCATCAGCGTGCGACTGATGACTGTTCTACTACGACTCGGGAGAGGTAAGTTTGCCCCTTTTCTAAGCACGTACGGTCCGACCATGTGTTATCCTGATGACACGGCTGATCAGCTCTACACTGAGCTATCCTCCGTGATACAGTCTGTGCCGAGGAGTGACCATTTCTGCTGAGTGATTTCAACGCGCGCGTTGGGCGTGATGCATCAGCGTGGACAGATGTTATCGGTGCGCATGGCATTGGCTCAGCGAATGCGAACGGTGACAGGCTGCTCTCACTGTGTGCCACTCATGACCTGACGATCACGAACCCTCGTTTTGCATTCTGCGAGTGATATAGCAACTTGGACGCACCCACGGAGTGGTCACGCTCACCTGCTCGATTATGTCATCTTACCGCAGGGTGACATGCGTGAAGTGCGCATGACAGGTGTACTGCGTGGAGGTAAGTGCAGCACTGATCACACATTGGTGCGGACCAAACTGTACATCAATTTTCTTAACTACATGTATTGCACTCCCGCCTTGAATCGGCGTAAATTTAACATTCTCTCCCTCGGTACTGTGGAGAAACGTATTGAGCTGGAGCAGGCGATGTCTGCATGACTGTGATGTGGACTGCATGGCGATCTGTGGCACCACATTCGCGACCAGGTGACATCTGCTGCCGAGGAGATGATCAGGCGCGCAAACTGTAAGCGGCCTGATTGGTTTGATGACAACAATGCGACGATTGGCGCATTGGTGTGGGAGAAGAATGCAGCATTTGCTGCACATGTTGCAGACCCCAGTGACTTGGGGAAGAAGAGTCAGTTTCGCAAAATTTCGACGGCGACTGACCCGAGAGCTTCGTCGCATTAAAAATGCATGGTGGACGGAGAAGGCGAAGCAGATGGAATGCTACGCCGAACGCCGCCAACACAAGGAATTCTTTGACTCCTTGAAGACGGTGTATGGACCCCATCGCAATGACGCTGGACCTTACCGTGGTGCGATGGTTTGTGTGCCTCAGTGATCCATTGAGCTATACTGGGTGGTGCTTTTGCACCTTCAGAGCCACTCATACCAGAATGGTCAATGGTTAGATGCCAGACAAACTCAGCCTCCTGGCCCTCCAGGTTGGGGGTTGGAATGAGGGTGGCTCCTTATTCCTTAAAACGGACTCCTTGTAGCCCCATGCCCAACCCGCTGCCTTGTGGACAGTTTCTTGAACCAAAGGCTTTGGTTAAGAACCCTAAGCGTTCTCCTACATAGGCCTGTGTAACCTGACAGTATCCTGCCCACGCAATACAATGAATTTCACTTTAACAAATTTCTGATGCTCTGGCTACCGCAGAGAATAATCAACGGTGCCCTATCTGCTGCATCGAGCAGGGTGGATAGGAGTTTGGATGCTACTGCTCAAGCCTTCCCATCTTCTTGCGCTTTTTCACCCTTATTGTTCCGTTCCAACTTCACTTTTATCCCCCCTGTTTTCAACCCCCCCATTCTCAGCCCTCCCCCAACTTGCTTCAATAGTCGCTTGTCTTTTAGTTTCAACTCACAGGTGAACGCGCAGCGTCATTCCCGCACTGTCAACAGGCCCATGTCCAAGCAAGCGGCCCATTCCAGTTCATCGGCTTCCATTTGGAGCCCTCGATCCTCCTTCAGACTGGCATGCCTCAATGTTCGCACATTGCTTCAGATCGGTCAACAGGCAGCATTTGCCTGAACATCAGAGACCCTCTCGATCGATATCTGCTGCTTATCGGAGACCCGCCTGCAAGACTCGAGCTCTGTGTTCACTCTGCGATTCCCTTCAGGTGACACTAGCAGCACTTTCTCATTGCGCCAATCCGGTGACGATGCAGCTTCGAGCACCGGCCAAGCCGGTGTTGGTATTGCCCTGAGTCCCCGGGCTGAAGCTGCTTTGGTTGATTGGATTCCAATCAGTAGCCGGATGTGTGCGGTCCGATTGGCTGCTCGTTTAAAGCTTCGAAGTAGCGTGGGACTAACAGGTGTATATTCGTTATCGCTGCCTATGCACCGACAAACTGTAGCGATGATTCGGTAAAAGACGACTTCCTATGGTCAACTGAACGAGCTCCTAAGCCACAGAGGAAGCTCGGACACTGTAGTGTTGGCTGGGGATCTGAACGCTCAAGTTGGAAAATTATCCATTGATGAGCTGCATCTGAGCGGCCAACATGGTATAAGCTCCCGTAATGATAACGGTGAGCGGTTACTTCATTTGTGTGAGCACGCTCGCTTATTTCTTGCGAGCAATAATTTCCGACACAGCACCCGCCGGAGGGTGACTTGGCGCCCACCAGCCTCGAACCAGTTATGGACGCAAATCGATCACATTGCGATAAGTTAGCGATGGAGAGGCTGCGTCCAGAACTGTCGCTCGATTTGGAGCACAGGTGTGGACACCGATTATGCACTTGTATGTGCTGACCTGCGGATGCGCATTGGCGGACGCCCAAGACGACGTTGTGAGCGCATTGACACCAGCCAACTGGCGAAGTCAGCTGTTCTGAATGCCTATCAAAGTACGCTGTCATGCGAGTTGGATAAACGCTCATTGGATGCAATTAAAGCTCACTGGTCTCATATTCACCAGACCTCACTGGCAGCAGGAAAATCCTCATGTGGTATGTCTAATTGCCAACATGGACATTGGGTCTCTTCACAGTCTTCGGAACTTATAGATGCTCGCCGGCATATTCCGGCTGGAAGCGAACACAATAAAACTCGCAAAGAGCTCCGGGAAAAAACTCCGTGCTAGCCTGAAGAGAGACCACGAATCCTGGTGGTCTCATCGTGCAACAGAGATGGAGATGGCAGCTGCTCTTGGTAACCATCGTAAGTTATTCCGTCTGATACGGGAAACGAGCAGCAGAAGACCTGGTGTTAGTGAAACTATACGTGACGAGAGTGGACAGCCTATCCACAACTTATCAAAACGCTTGGAACGTTGGGATGAGCACTTTGGAAGGCAATTTAATCGGTCGGAATTTTTAGATTTCTCACCTACCAGTGATCGCCCTGCTCCGTGGGCTGTTCCTTTAGATCCACCCTCTCGCTCAGAAGTCGAACGTGAGATCGAACTGTTGAATTTAAACAAAGCCGCGGGACCTGCTCTTGTGGATGATTTACACGAGTTACTAGTCAAACTGTGGGAGCAGGAAACTGTCCCAACCGATTGGAGCCGCTCCATCATAGTCCCAATTTTCAAGGGAGGCTCACGATCGGAATGCGGCAGCCATAGATGAATCAATCTGGTCTCCATCGCCTCTAAATTGCTTGCCTCTGTCATCCTTCACGGGCTGACTGACACTCGTAAAAGCCAGATGCGTGAGGAGCAAGCTGGATTTCGTCGAGGTCGTGGCTGCATTGACCACATCTTCACCTTGCGTCAGTAGTTGGAGCACCGTCACATATATTGGCGGCCCACCATTGTCGTGTTCCTCGATATCAAAGGTGCATTCGATTCTGTGGATAGACATGCACTTTGGAACTGTCTACTCAGGAAAGGTGTCCCTGAGAAATATGTAAATATTATCCGAGCATTATATGCGCGTAACTCGGGCAGAGTGAGGGCTTACGGCAAGTTGTCATCGCCCCTTAATATCTCCAGCGGTGTGAGACAAGGATGCCCGCTGTCACCTTTCCTCTTCAACATCGCTGTTGACAAAGTCATGAAAATCGCGTTCACAGGACACGACTTGGAACATGTGGAGCTACTCCCAGGAGAACGCCTTCTTGACTTAGAGTATGCTGATGATATTGCCCTGATCTGTAACAGCTCACAAACGTGCCAAGCGGCACTGGACAGATTAGCACTAGCTGTCCGTCACTTCGGGCTTTGCTTCGCACTCTCGAATTGCAAAGCGTTTCTCCAAGATTGGCAGGGACCGCATCCTTCGCTGACCCTTGGTGGGGATCAGCTAGAAGTCGTTCAAAAATTCAACTACCTGGGAGGTTGTATCAGCGCCCGTGGGATTGAAGATAAAATCACGAATCGAATAGCAAAAGCTCGGGGCGCTTTTGCTAACCTTCGCCACTTATGGCGCCGGCGCGACAGCACTTTGCCCTAAAGGGTAGAGTGTACAATGCAGCAGTACGTTCGACCCTACTGTACGGTTGTGAAACCTGGGGAAGATTTTGCGCATCGTCTGGGGCGACAGAGTTGCAGACACGGAAGTTTTGCGCCGAAGTGGAATGTATGCAGTGGACTGCATACTTTTGCTGAGACACCTGAGGTGGATCGGTCATGTGAGCCGTATGGATTCGACGCGGATACCGAAGCAGCTATTATATGGTCAGTTGAGTATTGGGAAGCGGCACGTGTGGAAACTAAAGTTACGATACCAGGACATGATTAAAGTGAGCCTCACACGTTCTAATCTTGATTGCAGATCATGGGAATCGAAGGCGGTTGATCGGCGTGCATGTCGCGATCTGATCACGAGGGCAGTTGCCGAGGTGCAGGAGATAGCCCACATACATGCAGAGAAGAAGCGGCAAGTGCGGAAGCGGCAAGCACCGATGGGTTGTTCTCCATCGACATCAAGCGCATGGTGCTGTAGAACATGCGGTCGCGAGTGCCTTAATCAGGTAGGCTTAGTGAGCTATGAGCGACGCCACTCGAGGCTACTACCGAAGCGACGACGGGATCTGCAGAGAACGTAGGCAGAACCGGCGCAGCGTTTGTAGGTATGCTGCATTCGATTTACTAACCGCGTGCTTGCATGCTAAGTCTATTTATTTCAGGTGGTGGGTTTTCAATTTTGTCCTAATGCCTTTCTTCCTCATATAAATGTCTAGTGAGAAAGGAGCGAGGCCATTCGAGACCACTACAGAAGCGACGACGGGTCCTGCAGAGAAGTATTCAGAACCGGCGTAGCGTTTGTAGGTACGTTGCATTCGATTTACTAACCGCGTGCTTGCATGCTATCTCTTTATTTCAGGTAGTGAGTTTTCAATTTTGCCTTAATGCTTTTCTTTCTCATATAAATATCCACCTGCACTCTATTCCATTAACTTGCACACCTCGCTTAAGCCAATTGTATTCGATTTCCATAACATTTTTGTGTTCGTGGCATTCCGTAAATATACTTGCTGACCTCGTGAACTTATCTAGGATTCGTTTGTAAACAACCTATTTCATATGCTCATTAACTTAAGGTTTATATTACCGCTTCCTTATGCATTAATCGAGTTATTTTCTTGTCGCTCTCTCTCAAATGATTGGCTGTTGTTTGATATCCCAGGTGTGGCTGCGCTTGATGTGCATGTTGACAAGGTGCCTAACTGTCTAGCACCCACTACCTCGTCTATACTGGCTCCAGGAGACAGTTGCTTGTTGCTGGAGGGGACGGGGTGCACGGTCCTTGTGGTCGTGCTAGGCTCGAAGAGTGGTTCCATGCACTCAGTGTGGAGCGGACTACGGTCCAGCTACCGCCTTGTGTGCACTTGATTCCCAAATACAGTGTGCTTATGTTTGTCTGTGAAGAAGTGTGGGCCGGCTCCGTTGATGAAACGTGGTTCCCATCCGCATGCCTCCCGGTCTTATTCCTTCGGGTTTACACTGGATATGGGGTGTGTGGATGGAGCTGTGGGTAGTGCAGCGCAAGCCATCCATGGTCCCTCTGTAGGCGCAGGCGTCCTGTGGCTGGCCACAGTGACAGGCAAATCCGAAACCGGATGCCGCCACCCATATATATATATATATATATATATATATATATATATATATATATATATATATATATATATATATATATATATAGTATAAACCCGGTTTACAGCCCACCCCGCTCCATCGCCCAATTTTATAAATAAATTTTTTCTCATAAATGTTAAAATTTCCCCATCTAATTGCCCACTGCCGGGGTCGTCCCACTGCTTAATTGCCTAGCTGCGTGGGCTGTGCTCTTGTAGCTCTGTCAACTTTATGCCCTTGTTCTGACTATATTTTATTACGATTACCGCAAAACTGACCAGTCCGATCAAATGAAAAACAACAAAGATATCGGCGGCGCTATTGACAGACGGCTATGGGTAAATCCTCGGCCCTATTCAAAACTCGAGAAATAGGCAAAGTGGGGTAATATTTCCGCTTTACATTTGTCAGTAGTCTATTGGTTACACACAAGTACGCTCAGTAACAGAAAGGATTTGTCCTTGGCAGAATAGTTGGACGTTTTGGACAAATTGTTGTGTGATTTACACACTTCTCGTCGTACCTTAGCCATGATGATTGCCAGTGGAAAGGAACTCCGGCAGAAGTTGTTGCATGGCACTGCAACCTCTCAGAAAAGGAAGCGATGTAGAAAAGATGAAGAAGTTGAAACGGAACTAAAAAAACTGGATGATACCGGATGTGAGCACGACAAAACAGTTACGGGCCCACTTCTGAAGAAAAAGGCAAAAGACTTCGGGGAACGACTTGGAAGAACCTTTGCTGCCACAGAAGGGTGGCTGCAAAGATAGAAGATAAGAAATCAAATTGTGTATAAACGTGCGCATGGCGAAAATAACAGTTTGAAGATTGGCTGAAAGATCGAGTGCCTGAAGTTTCAAATGCATTTGATGATGACAGCGTGTACGATGCAGACGAAACAGATCTTTTTACAGGGCAACAACAGAGGGCTCCTAGCGTTTTTCTGCCGAAAAGCTCAGCGGATCGAAAAAACCCATGGATAGAATCACTCTTCTGTGCTGCGCGGATAAAAAAAACGGGCGTTTATTGGAAATAGTAAGAAACCACGATGTTTTAATGGTATGAACGTGGACATATTTCCCGTAACTTACAGATCTAACAAAGATGCGTGGATGACGAAAGAACTTTCACAGAGTCGGTCTTGAATGGGACAAGGAGCTAGGCCAAAGTGGCCGAAAAAGTATGTTGCTTTTGGATAATTGCACTACGCATCCATAGGTAGAAGGGCAGGAAAAACATTCAAGCGGAATTTGTTGCCGGCAAACACGACCAGCATTCTTCAAACCATGGAGCAATATGTGATTATGAATCTGAAAATCCGCTACAGAAAAAAAATCGTGGGCCGACTTCTTTATCACATAGAAAACGTGTTATCTGACTCATCGTAGGCGGTGGATGTTAGCAATAAGATTTCTGTGTGCAGTGCAATTAAGTTCGTTACAAAAAATTGGAGACAAGTTACCGGTGCAATAATAAAAGTTTGTTTTCGGCACGCTAGGTTCAATCGACTGGCATCCGATGCACTTTCTGATGTCGCCATCATCGCTGAGGACGAGATCAATGCTTGCACAATCCCACTCATCAATACAGAAGTGTTCGTCGCCATTGACAACGATGTGAAATGTACCTCAGATCTGACCACTGTTAAACATGAAATCGTCAGTAAAATTGTAGAGAACCGACTAGAACAGAAAGGCAGCGACTCAGAGGATGACGTGCCGGATGCCTTCGTAGCAGCAATCGGCGAGTGTCGCATTCAAGAGCAAAGAACTGTGTGAATGATCTGTATAGCTACGGACTTTGGCATGGGTTAGGCAACGATTTCTTCTCCAAATTGGACTTCATCAGTGCTACGTGAGTGCAGTAACAGCCTAAAATAATGTACAACTAACGTTAGATTATTTTCTCAGCAAAATATACTATAGTGTCAGTTAGTATAGCCACCCAGATACGATGCCTTATATTATAATTTTTAAATTATAGGGTATGATCTTCTGAAGGAACGTGTTTTGTAGGCTGTAGTTAAAAATACATACTTTATCCTTCTTAGCGTGATACAATACAAGTGATATATTGTACAATAATCCAATGGTTGTTTCCGTCTTGGAAAAGTGTCAATATCGGTTAATTGCCCACTTTGAAATCTCCCGATGATGAACAATAAAGCGGGTTCGGCTATATATATATATATATATATATATATATATATATATATATATATATATATATATATATATGGTTGGCGGCATCCGGTTTCGGATTTGCCTGTCACTGTGGCCAGCCACAGGACGCCTGCGCCTACTGAGGGACCATGGGTGGCTTGCGCTGCACCACCTACAGCTCCAACCACACACCCCATATCCAGTGTAAACCCGAAGGAATAAGACCGGGAGGCATATGGATGGGAGCCACGTTTCATCAACGGAGCCGGCCCACACTCCTTCACAGACAAACACAAGCACACTGTGTTTGGGGAATCAAGTGCACACAAGGCGGTGGCTGGACCGTAGTCCGCTCCACACTGAGTGCATGGAACCACTCTTCGAGCCTAGCAAGACCACAAGGACCGTGCACCCCGTCCCCTCCAGCAACAAGCAACTGTCTTCTGGAGCCAGTATGGACGAGGTAGTGGGTGATAGACAGGTAGGCACCTTGTCAACATGCACATCAAGCGCAGCCACACCTGGGATGTCAAACAACAGGCAATCATTCGAAATGCCGATATCGATTAAAGTAAACGCATATGACGACATAAATACTCGCTAAATGAACATATAGAAGAAATTGGTTGTAAATGAACCCGTGATAAGTACAAAATATCCGAAAGTTATTTAAAAGATACCACGCGATAATATTACGCAAGTTTACCACAATTTGCGTGGGCGACTTGTGCTAGTAAGGAGAAGATTAGCAAGTACACAGAACAAACCAAATAACATATAATGAATTTTATCCACATTAAAAAGACCTAGTTCAAGTGTAAGTTGGTTTAGCCCAACTGCGGTGAAGAAGCACCATGAATGCAACATCAGCCTCATTACAAGCAGCCTTTCTCCAATTGATGAGCTGAAGTGTGGACAACACACACATCAAGCTGCTGAGTGATAACGAGGATTTCACTTCTGCGGATACGGAGCAGAACACTTCGTTTGATTGATGCGCAACAACCATAAGGTCAACCAGTCCCATAACTTATCCAAAGCACTCTGAAATGCGTCAAAACCTACAGGTATATCTACGATATCCCAGAGCTTGAGGTCATCAGCAAACAGTAGTGACTGTATCTCAAGTTCTTCAGGCAAATCATTTACATAAATTACGAATAGCAAGTTCAAATGGGACGGGAACAATAGAATTCTGCGAATGTCCCACTGTGAGAGCCTCGTCGATCCGGGGTAGACTTTTGCGAATCGATTTGTCATTTGAAGGTGTCAGATAATTGATATATTTCTCTTTAAATGAGAAGCCGCGCCCTTATTTGGCGCAGGTTAAATATGCACAAGTAGTACCATGCTCTTGCATGGGCAATATGAATCTGTGGTGGATAAAAGCAAAGGTATATCTCGTCGGTGCGAGATACAGTCCAAATGGATATTACAATTTTTGATGTACGGCAAAATCGCAAGAAGCAGAGGTTATATTTTTCGAATTTTCCAAAGCAGTCCTCAAGCTTTTTGGTGGACATGGCTAATTGATCGGTTAAATATTTCGGGAGGATTGTGAGGTTTTAAAAGATAACAAGTGTAGATAAATAAAACGTGTAAGTGAAGTAATGCGGCCATTACTAGGACCGCCTCCTGGGGATCTGCTTCCATGTGGGTTATTCTGTCGACGGATTTCACTCGCACTTCCACGCTCCATGTGCCGGTGTGGCATTGAAGGCAGGTAAGCCATCATTTATGTAACTCATCTTTAGGGCTGTTTTTATGTATATAATGTGGACAGTCAAGCCATCTAGCCCCTACCATCAGTTGGTTTTTTGAGCAAAGCAATATTTTATCGCCACGGAACCAATGACAATGCGCACTGCATGGGTACATATATATATATATATATATATATATATATATATATATATATATATATATATATATATATATATATAACGCATACAAATGTAACTAGCTTTAGTTCAATGGCCAGACAATCGGTCGAACATATTCGTCTGGCACGACTAAATTTGTTAACCATGCAACTCGATTTCTCCGTTTTCTGTTATTGAATCCCAATGAATTAGATACCCTGGGTGTCGATCCTCAGTGATAAAATTTTACCGTGCCCAATTCTATCTACAAACTAGCCATTTCTGACTTACTTGTCATTTTGTTGCTTCCTGTTGTGTACCGCTAAGTTGCCGGAATCTGATTTACTGAGTTGCAATAGATCAGTGCAGTACAGTAAACCGGACACCTCAGCGTTTTTACAGTTGCTTTATGGCTATGCGACCAGAATTACTTCATTAACGATGAATGGTGGTTGGGAAGTCAAGAATGGTGTAAAACCTAAGTACCCTAATCAATTCATTCAGCGTCAGGGTACGTAAATGCTGTCAACAACTTGCAGTCACGAGCACTTAACTATCGTGCCACGGTGATGCTTTCACTACCCGACGTTACAATCAGCATTATCGCATGGATAATTCAACAGATGGTCCAACAATGAAACGACAGTAAAGGCCCCACTGCTGCCGATTGTGAACCATGTCTTGCTAAATCTGAAACCGAGAGCGATCTAAATGGCGATACGAACTAGCAGCATTACATTTCTTCCGGTCTTATGCCACCTGGAACCTAGTTAATCGACAATATTACCTGCTGTAGAAGGTGAGCAAGCTGCGTAACACGTGCCCAGATCCACGCAACCGATTCGGTTTGGTTAGCTGAAATAAGAACTTGGCCTAGTCATTGTCACCTGGTAAAAGCCTGCGCACGAGCCATGTTCCGTGGGTACCGATAGCCAAAGATCTGAGGGTGCTTGTGCTCTTCATATTGGGATGACCAACTCCGTTGTAAAATAAAGTGACTCTCCCCCTGGTCATACCCGTCACTGCCAACGTAACGTTTGAGATCATCGAATTGATGAAACAAAACTAGATCCTATTTCTTAACGACCAGAGTGCTACTAAGAGGCTGGTTGTCTTGCAGTCACTTTGCGCTTGAAGACCCATACCAAAGGCATGAACCGCTTTAGGGGTTGTCATGAGCTGACTGTGCGGCCTTGCCATAGTCAAACAGCAAACCGATATCATCCTATCATTATCCATGGATAAAAATTTATGCATTTGCATTGCGAGCTTTCATGAGGGAGCACTACCTGATAGAGTCTACGATAAAATTAAATAGACGGATACCACATGGTGTCCGAGATGTGCCGTGAACTCTGACGCGGCCTGATTAGTTTGTTTGATCAATAGTCAATCTGGTAAGAGTAGCCCTCAAGTACGCGACGTGACAGTAAAAGAAAATGAAAAGAAGTCGAGAAGTAGGGTTAACAAATCTGTCTCAGAAAGTAATACCTAGTACCCACGTTTACACGGGTCCGAACCCTCGATATTGGACAAATTTCCTTCTTTAAGACGACAACCAGACACTCACTCCGTAAAGAAGAATACCGCGCCAAGGCGTTCGACCTCCAGTAAACAGATGGGGGAATTTAATAGGCAGGATTACAGTCTCTTTAAGAGCTTCCTTCGCTGCTTTCAATCCTATGACATCGTCCCAAGAAACGTTTGGACGCTGGACAATAATAGCACTCTGCAAACTGCTCTTGAATTTTTCCTTTTCTTCGTCATCTTTATCGGAATCTTCTTTACTTGAATCTTTCTTTTTCTCCTTGGTGCCACCCGACCCAGCTTCCTAAAAGAGAAGTTGAAGGAGGATTTGAGTTGGCCGAGCATACAAATACGTAATAGCTGGATGTGATTAGTGTGCATAACCCACAATGCAAAAAGGTGAGACAAACTTTCGGTGAAAGATCAGCTATGGAGGTTAAATGAAGCACGGTCGGAAATACAAAAACATGAAGTGTGTACCCAGTCTAACTACACCACAAGGAGCGAATACATCAAGAAATCTGATTAATGGACGTTAAATGATAAGACATAACAAAACAGCAGCTGCAGTAAAAGAGAGAGAAGCTATTGGGAAGGGAAAAGGCCCAAATTGATAAGTAGAAAAAAACATCAAAAGGCCAAACAAGAGCAAACGGTTTATTATAATTGGATAGGTTGCCTATAAAGTTATATATTGGATATGTAGAGGGACAACTAAGTGAGGCCTGTGAGCGCAAACAGAACCGAGTGCACTCAATAAGCAATTAGTTGGACATGTAAGCAGAAGAGCAGAGAAAATGGCATGGTTGTCAAATACACGATCAAGGTATGCAAATAGTGTAATGAATAGAAATAGTACAAGTATTAGTAATGTGCGCCCGAAACAAGGTGATTTCTATGGAACACGACAGTCAAGATTCCCCTCTCGTATAATCAAAGTTATTTCAGAACAGTCAAGCAACAACATGAATGGAATCAATAAATCGAAGAAACATCGTTCCCTAGCCGCAAAGCTATAAACTATGTAATGTAACTAATGCTAGTGGATAGAAAGAAAAAGTAGCGAGTGGTGGGTCCAGTCACGCTGGAAAAAATTGAATCAGGGTGTCTACACGTCGGGATCGCAAACAGCTGGAAACAGTGCGTCGATAAAACGATAGTGTTAGTGTAATTTCTTTTTAGGACGGTGTGAGGTGTACCGATTGGTGGCCCAGTTTATTAAATACGAACGGGTTAAAGATTTTATTTTGCACGTGTGAGTGGTACAAAGACTATGTAGATATCCCGAGAATTAACTGTTTGTAGGTCGAACGATTTCGCACGTAATAACCTCATACTTGATATCATTATTTCATTTCAGCCGGCAAGATCTGTGAAATCGAAATGACCCGGCAAGCATAACACCCTCTGCGGCTTCCATAATATCGCTTTCTAATCAGGTTTATGGCACCTACAATTTGACAGCAAGCATGCTCCTGATGTCACTTGAATGACATGTCCTGCGATGCCCAGAAACACAAAGAGGGTAGAGTTGTATGAAATGCGGGACGAGAAGTGGGACAACTCACCACAGAGCCAGCTAGTGTAGTTGACGGGTTGGTGTACTTAGCGCTGGACGAATTCTACATAATTTAACCGGGCTTATTTGGTGACACCGCGAATCAAACTAAGCATAGTCATCAACGACCGACTCGGTCACCATTGTCCTAGTGATACATGGCACGAGCAACGACATCTAAAAATGTGTGAGTGCCTGGGACTCTCAGAATAGAAAAGCCATCAATCGCCTCCGAGGACTAGGGTGGGTGCTCCTTGCGGTCCTGTATACATGAGCCCAAGAGGCAAAGAAATATATGTGGAAACACTCCTAAAGGCAGTTCTAAATTCCAGAGCATATAAACCAATAGCAGTAGGGATGCTACCACCGACAGCAATGCAAACACTAACTGTTTCCAGCGCTTCGTCGTTAGAAGTCAAACAGCTCGTGAGCTGTTGATGGATTGCGGTTGTCCAATTTATTCATGCAAGCATCGAAGCACAATAAATGGAGTGGGCGATCTGAGTCGCTGAACGATTGCATGGAAAATGAGGTGGAATGCAAAATAAGGTAAGAAGAGCAGAGCATATGGAAGAAGCGTAAAAAATACTATACCCTAAAAAGTTTACGGCCATGTAGGCTGGCTTGCCGAACAACCTCCTCGTGGTGCCAGCTGGGTGGTTCGGGATCATCCTGTTCCAGCGAATGGTTCGGCGGCAGTGTTCCAGGACGTGGTGGGTTTTCGCCTGGCAAGCGTTCTCCCTATAAAAAGCCACATATGTCCGCTTAACAACACTGTGACGTGGCGGATGTGACTCGCCACTAAATAAAGTCACTGCCCCTTGCCTCTCTCTGAGTGGCATTGTAATTCAAGGGTGCGTTGGGCCCCTGGTCCTATGCGGTCCTAAAGGCGTATGAACCATTTATTTGGTCACCGGCTCCCAACGGGTTGCGATACCCTCATATCGCCCTGCTGCCTTGTAGGTTAGATCCTTGATCAAAGGCTCGGGGTGGGGCCCCCAATGATATCGCCTTGCTGGGGGACGACCCACAATCCGTCCAGAACGCTCTGGACCGCTTGGCGATGGAGGCGTCTAAGTACGGCCTATGCTTCACTCCGGGAAAATGTAAAACGCTGCTCCAGGATTGGCAGGTGCCTGAACCCGCGCTCACCATTGCTGGACATGTTCTGGAGCAAGTCCCTTGCTTCACTTACCTAGGGAGTTGCATCACGGCTGGTGGCGGTGTTGGAGATGAAGTCTCACAACGGATTGCAAAGGCCCGCCTTGCATTCATCAAACTGAGACATCTATGGCGTCGTCGTGATGTCACTCTCAAGCTCAAGGGCAGGGTGTACAATGCTTCCGTCCGTGCAGTACTCTTGTACGGCTGTGAGACTTGGCCTATTCGCTCGGAAGATATGAAGCGGCTATCAGTCTTTGATAATCGCTGTCTACGAAGGATTGCTAGGGTGTGGTGGCAACACCACATAAGCAACGCAGAGGTGAGAGACCGCGTGCTTGGGGCGAATAGTGCCAGTCTTCAAGACGTTATTCTCCGACATCGCATGCGCTGGCTCGGGCATGTTCTGCGCATGCCAGCCCATCGCCTTCCACGTCGAGCGCTATTTGCACTCCCAGGGAGCGATTGGAAAAAGTGCCGCGGTGGACAGCCGATGACGTGGAGAAGGAGTATGAAGAAGGCGACCTCAAGTTTGGCAGCAGTCGGACCAGTCCGCCTTCCAGGTTGGGGACCACGAGATGCTGAATTGCAGTGGTTGGAAACATTGGACGTCATGGCCCGCAACAGACATCAGTGGCGGCAATGTTGTTCCGCAATTTCACCATCCCTTTGATACACACAAAAACTCACAAAACAAAAAATACAAAATGGCGTGTGTAAAACCAAAAAAAATTCGTTTCCCATATTTTTTAATCGCATTAGTGTCCCCATCTTCTTCACCTTTTTCTTCTGCCATGGTTCTGATGGCACAATGTCTGTTAACAGACTGTGAATAAATATATTACGGCCATATATACCAGGCCGGATGTAGTGGCGTCATAGAGTATGCGACTGCACGATACGCAATAAGATCTGCAGCTATCCGTGGGGCTGACTTCGTGCGAAGCACCGAAGAAGCACTACCCGTGGAGCTCAATGGCCTAGTGATCATGGCGATAGCCGCAGGCGCCATGCGCCGAGTTCCACTCCCAGCTCGGCTGTCTGATGAGTCCAAAGCAAAACGAAACGATCGGTTGTGGAGTGTAAGGATGGAAGAGGGCCACACCGAAACCCTCCACTTTATGCGGAGTAGTTTGTAACGACGCAAGCTTGAACTGTCGACTTATGGATTACAAACCATACGTCTGAAACACACAACCAGTGGCCGTTAGGGAGCGTTTGGGGCGGTGGATTGCAAACTGAGGGAAATGATATTCTGCTGTCCGAGACAACACTGGTCACAAGTGCCCTACGCTAAATGATCTGAGACGATAACCGGCACCTTCCATGAATAAGTTGTGAAAAAAGATGTGTATCGACCGCTCCTGTGATTGAGCCTGTCTGACCTACAGCCATTGACCTATGTGGCATGAATAGTTCTGATGGTAGCTGGAAAGTGCAACTCAGGTGAAAAGCAACCGAATCGAACAGAGCGACCGACTGAATCAGATGCATACGAAGTTGATAGCAACAACTGCAATCGGCATGTAGCAAGTGGCACCAGTCCAGTACACATTGCAGAGTAAAAAGGAGACGCAAGTAGCCCAATCCGATTGGTACTTGGTGTTCAATTCACGATTAGGCGATGGATGAAAATGAAGGTAAGCAACCTTGTCACTGTCGCCATTTGTATGCATTAAGCCGTTATTGCTTATGGGCCGTTACTACCTGCTATCGTCGTTGGTCACTCTTGAGATTACCAGTTAGAAGTATTTCCAGTGTTTCAGATGCCAAAGAACCACTCACCAATGTGATCTGTTGCGCGTATGTAGCTCTAGAATCCACTAGATAAGCAGACATGCTAAGTCGAGCAAACTGCTGCTAAAGCTCTTCTTACTGCCAAATGGGGATGAGATCAGCACACTAAACTTGCTTGCTTCATCGCGAAGGTGATAAACTTCAAGGTGCTGCAGTCAATTGTACATGCTTGTTAGCTAGTGAGGTTGGGAAGCATTTTCAAAGACTGCCATTCTTGAAAACTCAGAAATGAGATGTCGAAGTTTCTGGACTAAGTGATCGATATTAGTAGATGAAAAGAATGCGAGCCAACTCTTGTTCGCTCATAACCTCTCGATGTCTGAAGGGCAAAGAGGTGGAAGCACATGATTAAAAGCACTAAACAAGTGTAATTGAGTGCGCGCATCAGTACAATGAAAAAGGCAAATTTAGTAACCGAAACTAAGAAATTAGCCATGAGTAAAATAAAGAGCCATGTGTTAGATGCCAATCGCCATAGCTATTGTGCGGCTACCAGTAACCAATATCTGAAACCAAATTAAATTAGGAGGAAATCTGACTATGAAAGATGGAACAGTTTTACAAAAAACAGACTAAAGCTACAAAGGAGCAAGTTGCAGTGGACTTTCGTCCAGGCCCTTACCAGGAGCGTAGTCTGCAAAGCGATAAGAAAATAAATGAATGTGGCGATAAATAGTGTTGTTATCAGATACACATACTGTGTTGAACTGGGGCAGTAGGAAAATATAAAGGCATTGTGGTCTTCTTACGAAAAAAGTAAGAACAGTTCTGAATATTGTGACAACCACATATTGACTGGATTTTGTCAGAGCATACAATAGAAAAGAGTAAGTGGTCAAAAGCAAAACGGAAAGTATAGCGGAAGAAGCACGGATAGGTGCATAGACAATGCGGTCACTCTACTGATGCGCTCACTATTAGCAATTGACGAAACTAACGATTACAGGTAACGGTTACCAAACTACGACCGGCAACTTCAGTTCATCTTACCAGCTGTCTGTACCTGGAACTACCTTGATAAAGCTTATTGAACATGTGACGTTGTGATGCAGCTTGAAGTTGACAGTGGATGTCGTACTGCCAGTGATCTGAGCCAATTCATGGCAGTTACACGGGGCAGCGAACTGCCCTACTATCAGTAAAATCTTGATCTGAATGACTACGCATGTAACCAAATTACCCGCGTACCCTACTGTGTTTACGGTCATCACACACCTTTGTGCCGCGACTCTATACTGGGTCAGCTCCCCTGATCACGCGTCGTATAAAACACCGCGCATCAAGACGCCTTTAGTTGGCACAATTGTCAATTTAAAGCCATATTTGCGCCGTACGCCCATTGCAACGCTTCCCCGGCGTGCATTATACGCCGTGGTTGTAACAAGTTAGGTGAAAGCGTGAGGTGACCAGTCCATGACGTGGCATAGAAGCATGGAGAAACTGACTGTGAGACTTGGTCAGGCTGGTGCGTGCCGTCTTCATGGATGGGGACCTCGGGATGATGCACATCAATGGTTGGAGACGGCATCAGACATGGCGCAGTCAGTGGCGTTCCTGCATTCGGTTTCTTGCATCTGGTTGTTCATTTTCGATCCATTTTGATTAATTTAATGGGCCTTCTTGCTTCCATGTTCTTTAAGTTCTATGTGCCTTTAACACCACTAGCTTGCCGTTATTATTTATAGTTATCCTTGCGATGTGAGTCGAGGCAACTGATTTCATCGCACTTTGGTGCTAGGATCATAGCTGTTACAATGAACTGAACTGAACCGAGGACATAGTTGCTGGCTATTCTGAACGAATAGCAAACTATTTAAAGTGAACCGCGCTAGAAA